AGGAAGGAAGGAAGGAAGGAAGGAGAAAGAGAGAAAGAAAGAAAGAAAGAAAGAAAGAAAGAAAGAAAGAAAGAAAGAAAGAAAGAAAGAAAGAAAGAAAGAAAGAAAGAGAAAGAAAGAAAGAAAATGTACTCAAGGGGCCAGGTGCAGTGGCTTATGCCTATAATCCCAGCACTTTGGGAGACCAAGGCAGGCGGATCACAAGGTCAGGAGTTCGAGACCAGCCTGGCCAATATGGTGAAACCCCATCTCTACTAATAATACAAAATTAGTCAGGTGTAGTGGCTTGCACCTGTAGTGCCAGCTACTCGGAAGGCTGAGGCAGAAGAATCACTTGAACCCAGGAGGCGAGGATTGCAATGAGCCGAGATTGAGCCATTGTACTCCAGCCTGGGTGACAGAACAAAACTCCATCTCAAAAAAAAAAAAAAAAACACTACAGGTGCAAGAAAAAAAAAAAGAAAAGGAAAGAAAATGTACTCAAGGAAGGAAATATCAATCATCACCTTGTGCTTTTTAATGGTTTCCTTCTCCACTTGTAGATAATGACGTCATTCTTGCTCGGATCTATTTTGGGCAGCCTCTTCTGACTCCTTCCTTCTACTGGATAGTACCGGGAATTGGGAAGTGTGATTTCATTCTTTTTGTGGTTGGCATATTTAGGGAAAGGTTTGGTATAGGAGAAGGTCAAACTAATATTTCAATGATGGTTTTAGACTGTGCATGGCTTTCAATCATCTGAGCAGCTTCTACTTCACCTTCCTTGACCCCTAACATGTAACTAGTTGAGCAGGATTACTGAGTCACTTGGCCTTAGATTTTTTTTTTAATGCCTCCCAAGTTCCGTATGAATACATTTAAAGCAGGGAGTTTAGAGCAGGTGGCAAGTTGGAAGTCTGTTTGATTTTGTCAACCATAGAAAATGTGGATAAAGATAAATTTGCTAGGAGAACTAAGGAGAAATAGGATTAGCTGTAATGCTGTGTAGCTCTCCCTAAGGCCCAAACAGGAGAAGCAAAACTAATGTGATGATGTAAGAATTTTTCTATTTCTCACACCATCCCTTGCTTCCACGCAAGCATGGTAGTATCTGGGTATTCAGGTGATTGGTAAAAACATCAATTGAGTAGCCAAAATGAATGTGTTTGAGTACTCCCTCCGACATGGTTTCTATACCTTGAGGAGAGACAACCCATTTCTTCAGGAGGCAAGAAGTTGCTTTCCCTGTGTGCTCCGCTGTCTTAGTCCTTCTTGTGCTGCTATAACAGCATACCTGAGCCTGGGTAATTTATAAGGAACAGACATTGTTTTCTCACAGTCCTGAAGGTCGGGAAGCCCAAGAGCAAGGTGCCATAGGTTTGGTGTCTCTTCTTCCAAGATGACTCCTTGAACACTACATCCTCTAGGAGACTGGGAACCACTGGTACTCACATGGCAGAAGAATGGAAGGGACAAGAGAAGGAGAAGGGCCCACACTTGCCTTTTATAACAAGCCTACTGCCATTCTAACCACCAACTCCTGAAAAAAAAAAAACCCAGCATTAATCCATTCATGAGGGTGGAGGCCTCATGGCCTAATCACCTCCTAAAGACCCCACCTGTTAAAACTGTTATGATGGCAATTACATTTCAATGTGAGTTTTGGAGCAAAACACCCACCCTACCCCTAATTCCAGCATAGCACCCACCCTACCCCTAATTCTACCCGTTGGGTGCCACCGCAGGAGCTGCGCCCCTCTTGACCCACCCCCACTTCTCAGCCACCTGCCCCGCCCATCCATCCTTGGATCCCAGGCTGCCTGCTGCCCTCCTGGGTGCATGAAAGAAATGTTGGCCAGTACCAACATTGTTTAAAGTGGCTACTTTGTAAAAGTTATGAACTCCTGGTACATTAGAGCATGGGCACCACCTCCACCATTCCATGGGTACCTGCCTCTGCCAGATACCCCGGAGGGAAGAGGATGTTTCTATAACCAGGCTGACAAGTTAGCATTTGGGAATACAGTTCTGATGTTGTTCGGAGGGTTTGTTTGCCAGAAACATCCCCATGCTCCACTCTTTCTTTTTTCTTATTTATTTTTTTGAGACGGAGTCTAGCTCTGTCACCCAGGCTGGAGTGTAGTGGTGTGATCTTGGCTCACTGCAACCTCCGCCTCCCAGGTTCAGGCGACTCTGCCTCAGCCTCCAGAGTAGCTGGGATTACAGGCACTTGCTACCACGCCCGGCTAATGCACTGCTCTTTCAACCAGAGGTCAAGAAGTCCTTTACTTTTGTGCCTTTTTTTTTTTTTTTTTTTTTTTTGAGATGGAGTTTTACTCTTGTTACCCAGGCTGGAGTAGTACAATGGCACAATCTTGGCTCACCACAACCTCGGCCTCCGGGTTCAAGCAGTTCTCCTGCCTCAGCCTCTCAAGCAGCTGGGATCACAGGCACCATCACTCCCATCATTCCTGGTTAATTTTCGTATTTTTAGTAGAGACAGGGTTTTACTATGTTAGTCAGGATGGTCTCGAACTCCTGATGTACCCACCTTGGCCTCCCAAAGTGCTGGGATTACAGGTATGAGCCACCATGCCCAGCCTACTTTTATGTCTTTTAAGCTGCACTGGGAGCCCAGGCAAGGTGTTTCCTCAGAGGGAGGTTGCTTAAGGTGGAAAGACATCCACACGGAAGATCACAGCTGATTCATTCCTTAACTGTCAACAGGAAGACCCCCTCTCTGCATTTTCCAGCTCATGACATAGTTTGAAAACAAGCCCTGCCCTGGGGTCTGCTCTGAGGAGCCCCCCAGTGACATGTGTGGGCTGAGTCATTTCGCCATGGCCCTTCGCCATGCCACATACAGTCATCTGAAAGCTGCACCTTCTGAGAGTCTGAGGGGTCTCTTGAGTGTTTTTTCCTGATCAAGACACAGCTGCTGGGCCCGGCAGAGGACGGGGAATACCTGGCAGGGCCAGCATCCTTCACGGAGATATTCCATGAGCTGCTCTGAGAACATGATGACTCAGAGAGGCTCATGTGCACACTAAATTCAGGCTTAAAGTCATAAGCAGATTCTTGGGAACTTTTTTTCTAACTGTACTCGGTGTCCTTTTTGTTTTTGTTTTAACCAGACCCAAGTTCAGGACCTCTGTGTTTATCACAGGCAGGACTTGTTCCATTTGGGAACGAGGACCTGGAAGAACCCAGAAGCAAAATGCTGAGCCTTACCAGGACCTGGAGGAGGGTGTTGTGAGCTCCCACAGAGCAGAAGCCTTAAGAACAAAGGAGCTGCCTGGAAAAAATCAGGAGCGAGAGAGAGATTGAGATTTAAAGGAAAGCGTTTAAGCCCAATGCCCAACAGAAAGTCTGAGCATTCCACTGAGAAAACTGCTCCCCAGCCAGATGCGGTGGCTCATGCCTGTAACCCCAACACTTGCGGAGGCCAAGGCAGGTGATTCACAAGGTCAGGAGTTTGAGACCAGCCTGGCCAATATGATAAAACCCCATCTCTACTAAAAATACAAAAAATTAACTGGACATGGTGGCATGTGCCTATTGTCCCAGTTGCTTGGGAGGCTGAGGCAGGAGAATTGCTTGAACCCAGTAGGCAGAGGTTGCAGTGAGCCGAAATTGTGCCACTGTACTCCAGCCTGGGCATCAGAGGAAGACTGTCTCAAAGAAAAAAAAAAAAAGGAAAGAAAGGAAAGAAAAAAGAAAACTGCTTCCCAAGGGAGAAGTGGGTCCCATCCTCCTGAGTTTGCTCTTGGGTTTGATAAGGGTGGGAATCAGCTTTGTAATTTCTATTTTATAACTCTAAACGGTTCGCAAGCTAGAAAGGCTTTGAGTCCCCAAGGGCTCCCCAATGCACAGCTCTCCTGTAGCCTGTGCAGGGCTGTTTAAGGATGAAGGGCCAGGATTGTGATTCCTGATGGCCACAGCTCTCTCAGCTTAAAGCTAGGGGACGACCCACACTCGAAGGGGACCTGGAAGTCCCCTGCAGCCCAATATCCGAAAGTCCTCTGACCTTGCTTGCACCTCCTGGAGCCTCGCAGGGCAGCGCCTTTGCTGAAAGTAGCAGCAGCCACACCACTGGTGGTAGATCGGAGGTTAGTTTTCTGAGGAGCCTGGCACTATTGGATCAGGTTTCTTTTTTTTTTCTTTTTTTTTTTAAGTTTCACTCTTACTGCCCAGGCTACAGTGCAATGGCGCCATCTCAGCTCCTGGGTAGCGATTCTCCTGCCTCAGCCTCCCGAGTAGCTGGGATTACAGGGCATGCGCCACCACGCCAAGCTAATTTTGTATTTTTAGTAGAGACGAGGTTTCTCCATGTTGGCCAGGCTGGTCTCGAACTCCCGACCTCAGATGACCTGCCAGCCTCAGCCTCCCAAAGTTCTGGGATTACAGGCGTGAGCCACCGCGCCCGGCAGGATCAGTTTCTTTCTAGGAGAAAGAGCAGGGAGACAGGGTGCCAAGCCGATCACCCATGTGTATGCTCTTCGGCCTTAGCCACAGCTTGGCCAGGTGGGGAGGTGCCCTTCCCTTTGCAGAGCCCAGAGCAGCCCCGGTTCGGGGCTGGCAGTCACTGCGAGCAGTTTTCAAGCCTATCCCTTTTCTACCCTCTCCTTCTAGAAGGTGCTGGACGAATGCCAGAACCAGCGAGCCTGCCACCTCCTGGTCAATAGCCGTGTTTTTGGACCTGACCTTTGTCCAGGAAGCAGTAAATACCTCCTGGTCTCCTTTAAATGCCAACCTAGTAAGTAACTTTGGAGGGGGACAGTGTTTGGGGTGTGGTTCTCGCTTCCTTCACACTCCTGGTCAAAATTCTCTGCCCTTTGGCATTTGTTCCAACTTTGAATCTCATTAGTAGAAACACTGTGCTCCATCCTACCCAGTTTTTTAGAGACAGAGAGAGAGAAACAGAGAGAGAGGGAGAGAAGGATTGTGTGTGTGCATCTGCATATGCCTTCATACAAATCCCGGAATTTTAAAAATCCTTTCCAATATGTACAACTCAGTTGTACTGATGTCACGACTCTCGAGGTGGTGAGAGACCACAATTGCTATTCCACAAAATGAGGAGTTGGTTCTGCTTTTCAGAGGTGTCTTGTGTTGAGACGGAAGGGCTGCCTGTTTTCCCCTGAGGCTCAGTGGGCCACCTGCCACCTGCACCCACTGTTTCAGTTCTTTAAGAACCGGCTCCTCCCGCCCACACCCATGGCAGGGGCTCCTTGTTCCGCAGGAGAATGAGAGGAGATATGGCTGGAGCAATCTCTTTTATTCTGATTCTCGTTCTTTTCCCCATTGACTTTTGCCATTTGTAACACAGGTCAGTTTTGTGATGGCCAAAACAATCCATCTTCAGTGGGTGGGTCACACTTCCAGGCGCCAAGAGAAGCCAGGGGTCACTGCAGCATTAGAGGTTCTTGAACACCTTGTTGCAGAGAAATGACAGCTGTGTGTTTAACCAAACCCAAGGAGTTAATTTTTTTTTTTTTTTTTTTTTTTTTTCGTTTTTGTTTTTTTTTTTTTTTTTTTTTTTGAGACAGAGTTTTGCTCTTGTTACACAGACTGGAGTGCAATGTGCGATCTCGGCTCACTGCAACCTCTGCTACCAGGGTTCAAGCGATTCTCCCACCTCAGCCTCCCAAAGTGCTGGTATTACAGTCCTGAGCCACCGCGCCTGGTCGAGTTAAGCATTTTCAGCCTCCCTCCACCATCCAGCACAGCTGTTTTCACTTCTTGCATTTTGTTCTCTGTTGGCTCCCACCCTGGAGCCCAGCATTCCCCGAGGCCCTGGGGACCTGGGTGCCAGACTTACGTGGGGAGGGGCCAGGCCACACTCGTAGTATGGTCTCAGGTGCACATCTGGGGAGAGACCCCTGGATCCCTTCAACAGATCTGCAGGCTTCTGTCAAGCCCCTTCCCTGCCAGGGCCCACATGCCTCGGAACTGCCGTGAGCAATTCCAGTACTGCACATGCGCACATACAGACACACTCACACCCTCACAGCACATGATGGACGCTCACAGTCACATCATCACACACACATGCACACCACCACCACCTTATACCCCATTACACACACACACAGGCATACAAGCTGTCACATGCATACATACTGTCATACGTGCTCACACACACTCACATGTACACACAATCACAAATACCTACAAGCAGGCCCAGCCATTCAGAACCACCCTCCCTCTACCCCCAGGCATTGGGGTCACCTCCTGCCTCAGTCAACAGACTCAGGAAATCACTTCAAGAAAGCTTTGTGTGCATCACATCCCTCCCACCGCTGAATCTCACAGATGACTATATTCTGGCCTTGAAGACACCCATGACTGTCATTAGCTTCACCTTCTTTTTCTTTTTCTTTCTTTCTTTTTTTTTTTTTTTTTTGAGATGGAGCTTTGCTCTTGTTGCCCAGTCTGAAGTATAATGGTGCAATCTCGGCTCACTGCAACCTCCTGGGTTCAAGCAATTCTCCTACCTCAGCCTCCTGAGTAACTGGGATTACAGGTGTGGACCACCAAGCCTGGCTAATTTTTTATTTTTATTTTTAGTAGAGATGGGGTTTCACCATGTTGGTCAGGCTGGTCTTGAACTCCTGACCTCAGGTGATCCACCGCCTCAGCCTCCCAAAGTGCTGGGATTACAGATGTGAGCCACTGTGCCTGGCTTCTTTCTTTCTTTCTTTCTTTCTTTCTTTCTTTCTTTCTTTCTTTCTTTCTTTCTTTTGTTAAGAAACAGAGTCTCGTTCTGTCACCCAGGCTGGAGTACAGTGGCCCATTCTCAGCTCACTGCAACCTCCTCCTCCCAGGTTCAAGCAATTCTCCTGCCTCAGCCTCCCGAGTCCCTGAGTTTATGGGTGCCCGCCACCACTCCCGGCTAATTTCTTTTGTATTTTAGTAGAGACGGGGTTTCACCATGTTGCCCAGGCTGGTCTCGAACTCCTGAGCTCAGACAATCCTCCTGCCTCAACCTCCCGAAGTGCTAGGATTACAGGCATGAGCCACTGTGCCCGGCCCTTTTTTTCTCTTCTCCACTTCCCTCCTTCCATGGTGAAAAAGATTACACAAGCAGTCCTTGTTAAGATGTTAATTGAAGAACTGAGGTGGTGGGAATATGACTATCGGTTGTGATATTCTTTCACATTTCTATATGTTTGAAAATTTTCATAATAAGTGGAGAAAAACCAGCCTCTAAGGAAGTCAAATGACCTTTGTAAAATTGACCAAACCTCTGATAAGTGAGTTCAGAGCCACAGCCTCAGGACTACGATGTGAGGTTTCATCTGGTTGATTCATATTTTTTCAGCAAACATGTATGAAGCCCCTACAGTGCATAGGAGTTGAATATGAAAACAACTCACATCCCACAGAAATTCCCTGAATGGCGGTTCTGTTGCGGATGATGTCCACACCCCCTCGAGGGTATTTCCCAACCTTCCTTCACCCCTCGAGCATTCCTGAAATCTTCACATAGCTGGTTCCTTCTCCTGGCATAGTTTCCACCTTTCAAGAGCGACCTTCTCTGTCCAAAACAAACAAACAAACAAAAACAATCTAAGGAAGCCTCTCCCTCTCACCCCATCGTCCCTCTCTATCACAGCATCCTATTTGATCTTCTTCACAGCTACAGCTTCATTTGGGTTTACCTTATTTATGTCTTGTGTATTATTTGCACACACACAGCATCAGATTGTGAGCCTCTTGAGAGCAGGAACGCTGAGTGATTCACCATTGTCCCACAGAACCGTAGGTGCTTAGTATGTATTCACAGAGCAAATGTTCACCCAGCAGGGGCCAGGTCCTGCGCTCAGCACTGGGGAGACACAGGTAAGCACATCCTCGATAACCAGATTGTCCAGCCCCATGGGGGCCTGATATTCACTGTGAATCTCACACAAATACATGCAAGATTCCAGGTAGGGTCAGGGCTGCATGGAGAGGCGCTTGGTACTATGCAGGCAGCTCATAGGATGATTTTTTTTTTTAATTTTTTTGAGACAGGGTCTCACTCCATCGCCCAGGCTGGAGTGTAATGGCTCGATCTTGGCTCACTACAACCTCTGCCTCCCAGGTTCAAGCAATTCTCCTGCCTCAGCCTCCCAAGTATCTGGGATTACAGGCATGCGCCACCATGCCCGGCTAATTTTTGTATTTTCAGTAGAGAAGGGGTTTCACCATCTTGGCCAGCCTGGTCTTGAACTCCGGACCTCACATGATCTGCCCGCCTTGGCCTCCCAAAGTGCTGGGATCATAGGTGTGAACCACCACACCCAGCCTCACAGGAGGAACTGTCCTCAACAGGGGATTCAGTGGAGGCTTTTTGGAGCAAGTGATGATGGAGCTGAGAACTGCAGGGATAGGGGGCACAGAAAGAGCACTGCATACAGAAGCCTGTGGCTGGAGGGTGCAGGTGCGTTGGCATAGCCAGTTACGGGGCAGGAGCACAGCACCAAAACAGCAGGAGGGAGTGCCAGCCAGAGAGCCGGAGCAGGGATCCCGGGCCCTCGCAGCCAAGGAAGGAGTTGGGGCTCTATCTGTAGGGCAGCATCTAAGCAGGGAGGGTGCTGGGATGAAGTCATGAAGCCCCTTTGGCTGCCCCATAGAGAGCAGATGAGAGGCGGAGCCCACATGTAACCTGGACACTGGCAACCTGAGGCACTGCCGCTGAGGAGGTAGAAGTGAGATGGTCTCCACACCTTCCTGCCTCATTTCCTGCACCTCTCACACCTCCTGAGGCTCTTCTCACTTCCCAGCTCCAGTCGGGCAGGACGCTGTGATTGTTCAAAGGCTTCACTGCTGCACCCTGTGAAGGTGCGAGGAGCCAGTTCTTCTCCTGAGAGCCAGTTACGCGCATCTCTTACCAGCTCTGCCTGTGTTCTGTGGAATCTGCCACGGTGGGAATAGTTACACCAGGGAAATTGGCAAATGCCACTGATCGGGGTTTATTTGTTTGTTTTTATGGAAAGTTATTTTACCGGGAAGCCTCACTAGAACCTTCTTTTCCCCAGTGTATACTATGCTTCCTTCCCCACAGCCTCGCCTCCCAAACTGCATCCCTTTAGGAAGTGTAGGTTTCAGTGAGGCTTGGATTTAGGCAGTTCTGGGTTTATATTCCTTTCTGCTGTGTGTTGGGCACACTTTCTAGGACTCGGTTGTAACATGGGGATTATGTCTCTTCTGCATAGGGCTGTTATAAGACACAGGGTTGTATGTAACATGCTTAGCACAGGACCATGAAGTGGAGTTCAGTAGTTGGTACTTATTATTTCAATAAGCTAATTCAAGTCACTCTACTAAAGTTATGAATGGCTAAAGGATATAGTTATGCCTGTAATCTCAGTGTTTTGGGAGCCCAAGGTAGGAGAATCATTTGAGGCCAATCGTAGGAGATTAGCCTGGGTAACATAGTGAGACCCCCATCTCTACAAAACAAATAAACAAAGAAAATTAGCCAGGCATGGTGGCATGAACCCGCAATCCTAGCTACTTGGGAGGCTGAAGCGGGAGGATTGCTTGAACCCAGGAATTTGAGATTACAGTGAGCTATGATCTCACCACTGCATTCTAGATGACAGGGTGAGATTTATTTACTAAATAAATAAATAATAAAAATAAATAAAAGTGACTACATTTCAACATCACTATGCACTGGCAGTTGTATGCAATGTCAGTAATAAAATACTCCCATTGTGGATAATCCTTCCTCTACCCACCTTTGAAAGGCGGCTGGTGATGTGCTTTTGTGACTGTTGTGTTGAAGAGGAGCAGAACGACCCACAGAGCCCTCTCATGGGTAGGTTGGTGCAAAAGTCATCGTGGTTTTTGCCCATTGGTTTTAATGGCAAAAACCAATGGCGATTACTTTTGCGCCAACCTAATAGAATGAGAAGGGGAATTTTGTTGCTGTTGTCATTTAAGCAGAGTCATGGTTCTACCTTCCCAGGCTCCTGCCATCGTCCCCATCTAAACTCCCAGAAGTGTTGGCAGCCTGCTTCTGGAAGGCTGTCCACACCTTCTCTAACCTGAGACCAATTGAGAACTCTCGCCCAGCTCTAAAACAAATACTAGTCTTCTAAGAAGAGTAGCAATGATGTTAGTACTCCCCTTGTTTTTTATAATCCAGAAATGTCACTGTTACCTGACAGTGAATTAGTACATTCCCAAGGAACCAAGTGACTCAACATAACATAGCCGTCACCCCAAGGATGTAATGTCACCCCAAGGATGTAATGTAACACTCACAGGCCCCTCCGTTCCAGGAGATGATTTGCTCGTAATCTGGGGAGGAGATCGCTGGAGGCCTGGCATGTGGGTGTTGTGTTACTCTGGGAGGGTTTTGTTGGCATGGAGGCTACTTTTAATGAATGGGCTTCAATAAATCAAAGAGATGTGGCTAATAAATGCGTTTCCTGACATGCCTTAAACAGCAAAAAAAAAAAAAAAAAAAAACCTCTTCCAACTTTTAAAAGTTTTGATTTAAAAAAAAAAAAAAAGAAAAAGAAGAAAAACAATTTCCATTTAAAAAGTTTCTAATTTGCGGAGATAAAGCTGGGTTTGGCCCGCCTTCTTCCATCCTCTTTCTGTGGGAGCTCTGCCACCGGAAGGCATTCTTAACATTTTTCTAAGTTCTCCTGGTTGGTAGGGGGCTTTGGCTCTTTTGGGGTTTCTATCCAAGCCGTCTTTTCTGCATCAAAGGCCATCGTTCACTCTGGGTCTTTGAAGTCAGGCAAAATTTTGTTGTTGGTGGGATTTAGCATCTACTCAAACTGCACATAAATGCCAGTGCGGATATGACTCACCAAAAAGAATCGAACCTTCTGACATTGGGGTCAGACTTGGCAGTCTTTTATTTAGAAAAAGAAAACAAAACTTTCCTTGCCTCTAAGTTTAAGTTGTTGAATTAAGATTCCAGTTAGGGGGTAAAGGGACTTCGAGACATTTGCTTAGTCATCATTTTCATTTTTCTTGCTTGTGGTGGTTCTTTCTGTGTGTTAAACTACCAGGAAAGGATGAGGATTTTGTGAGCATCTGTAGCCTGGCTTCTGCTCTGAGCCTTTCATTCATCGTGAATGTTCCCATCCTCATGGATGAAAGGATAGAAACAAAGTTTGCCAGCAGCAGAGCTGGTGGTCCTCTTGAGATCCTGCAAAGTTTTCCTTCCTGTGGTCCAAAATTTGGTCTCACTGTTGCTTCTCTGCTTTTGGTAGAAAGTCATGGAAATTTACAAGGTACAGAAAGATGGCATTTAGGCCGGGCGCGGTGGCTCACACCTGTAATCCCAGCACTTTGAGAGGTCTAGGTGGGTGGATCATTTGAGTTCAGGAGTTCAAGACCAGCCTGGCCAACATGGTGAAACCCTGTCTCTACAAAAAATATAAAAATTAGCCGGGCATGGTGCTGCATGCTTGTAATCCTAGCTCCTCGGTAGGCTGAGGCAAAGAATCACTTGAGCCTGGGAGGTGGAGGTTGAAGTGAGCCAAGATTGCCCCCTTGCACTCCAGCCTGGGTGACAGAGTGAGACGCTGTCTCAAAAAAAGAAAAAAAGAAAGAAAGAAAAAGAAAGGCGACATTTATATTTGGAAATTATTATCTTTCATTTTTTAAATTTGGAGCTTAGCATCGTTGATTCCAGGATATGAAGATCTAACCTGCTGCTGTGGCCCTAATGTGTACTGCTCACGCCTTTCTGTAGGGATCCAGGAGGGCGTTTTCAAATTGTGATTGAAGCCCGTAGTAGGAAAAGCATTTCACATTCTATCCCAGCAGAACACATACTCGTATACACACAACCGAAAAAGAAATGTGTAGATAACAAAACAGTGTTTATCCTTTCTTCATGTGATGCCCTTTGTTGTTTTCTAAACTATATTTTACAAAATTGTTGGTCACGACTCACGATTTCAAGACCCATGAATGAGCTTCGAATCACAATTGGGAAAAGTTTGGCTTGAGGTGTGTTTGGGAGCTAGAATCAGCCTGTACTTCCAATCCAAGAAAGAAAAGTGGAAAGAGAACACGGGCGAGTGAGAGGAGTGAGAGGCTGGGGTGGAAGAGGGAACCTCTGCACACTCTTCCCGCCCGCTCTGGGCCAGCCCGTGACAGCTCTAGCAGTTCTTGTCATTTAACTCTTGTTTGCAGTTAACTTCAATGACTCCAATGCTTGTTTGGCTAAAAAAAATGCAGCTGTCTGCTATGTGGTTGCCATTTCAAAGTAGAAACCTCCAGGCTGGGCGCGGTGGCTCACGCCTGTAATCTGCACTTCGGGAGGCTGAGGCGGGCAGATTACCTGAGGTCAGAACTTTGAGACAAACCTGGCTAACATGTCGAAAACCCATCTCTACTAAAACTACAAAAATTAGCTGGGCATGGTGGTGGGCGCCTGTAGTCCCAGCTACTCGGGAGGCTGAGGCAGGAGAACCACTTGAACCCAGAGGTGGAAGTTGCAGTAAGCCGAGATCGCGACATTGCATTCCAGCCTGGGTAACAGAGCAAGATTATAAAAAGTAGAAAACTCCAGAAGAGGGGTGACAGGGTGAAGCTAGCATTTTTTATTTTATTTCATTTTATTTTATTATTATTATTTAGGCAGAGTTTTGCTCTTGTTGCCCAGGCTGGAGTGCAGTGGTGCAATCTTGGCTCCCTGCAACCTCTGCCTCCTAAGTTCAAGTGATTCTCCTGCCTGAACCTCCAGAGTAGCTGGGATTACAGGCATGTGTTCATACCCGGCTAATTTTGTATTTTTAGTAGAGACAGGCTTTCTCCATGTTGGTCAGGCTGGCCTCAAACTCCCAACCTCAAGTGATCCGCCCACTAGGCCTCCCTGAGGGCTGGGATTACAGGTGTGAGCCATCCATCGCGCCCCGCCAGAGCTAGCATTTTCAAAGACTTTTCTTTACAAAAAGTTGGCAAGGGTAAGAGCCACATATGCAAATAAATGGCCATGGTCCCCTTTATGTTTTGCTTTGCTTTGATTTTGTGAAGTTTAAGATAAGTGACAAGATAAGAGAAAATTTTCTAACACCTAAGAGAAAAAAGCATCCAGAATACATGAATCACTCCCGCAACTTTTAAAAATCCAATACACTCTATGCAAAGGATTTGAAGCGGTTGTTCTCAGAAGGGCTGCTTTGAATATTCCATTTACTTATACATTTAAAGCTCTTAGAACAGGGCCTGGTTGGGAGGAAGTCTTCAGCAAGTATTAGCCATTATTATTACTATTGAGACAAAGTCTTGCTGTGTTACCTAGGCTGGAGTGCAGTAGCATGATCTCACTGCAACCTCTGCCTCCCCAGTTCAAGCGATTCACTTGCCTCAGCCTCTCAAGATTACACGCCCACCACCATGCCCAGCTAATTTGTGTAGCTTCAGTAGAGGCAGAGTTTTGCCATGTTGGCCAGGCTGGTCTCGAACTCCTGACCTCAGGTGATCTGCCCGCCTCAGCCTCCCAAAGTGCTGGGAGGTGTGAGGTGTGAGCCGCCGCACTCAGCCCTGTTAGCTATTATTATTTAAATATATCGTTATTGAGATATCATTTACATAGCATAAAATTCATCTTTTTCAAGTGTACACTCTAGTGATTTTCTGTGAATTTACTGAGTTGTGCAACTGTGACCACAGTCCATCATAAAACATTCCCACCATCTCTGGAGGCTTCCCTGTGCCCATTTTCTGTCTGCGACCTCACCTCCAGCCTCAGGCACTCACTCATCAAACCTAAAGGTTTGCCTCTCCTGAATCCTTCATATAAATGGAATCATACCATATGGGTTTTTTTGTGTCTGGAGTGTTAGCTATTACTGCTTTAAAAAATCAAATCATTATTAAATGTTTTTACTAATTGAATGGTTTTGGAGTACCTTCTTTAAAAAAAAAAACAAACAACTTCAACAGTGCAAGCATAATGCCAACTTTATATGACATTGCAAAGAAAGATTTTACTGTGATAAGCAGATTAAACAAACAGACTTTTCCCTGAGTTCTTTGGGAACAAAGTGCAGCCTGGTTCAGATCATCCTAACCTAGAATGCACCATCAGCTTGAGGGTCAGCTGTTCCTGGATTTCCCAGATTGGGGGCAGACTTTTCACACTTCTATAAAGAGGAATTCTTAACTGACACCATGCCTTGTTTTTGCCCCTTTCCTAGTAAAGGAAATCATTTGATTTGGTATCATATCATCTTTCTTGCTTTTTTTTTTTTTTTTTTTGAGATGGAGTCTCTGTTGCCAGGCTGGAGTGCAGTGCGTGTCCTCGGCTCACTGCAACCTCTGCCTCCCAGATTCAAGCGATTCTCCTGCCTCAGCCTCCCGAGTAGCTGGGACTACAGGCACCCACCACCACACCTAGCTAATTTTTGTATTTTTAGTAGAGACGGAGGTTTCACCATGTTGGCCAGGATGGTCTTGATCTCTCGACCTTGTGATCCTCCCACCCCGGCCTCCCAAAGTGCTGGGATTACAGGTGTGAGCCACTGTGCCCAGCCTCTTTCTTGAATAAATATAAGCTGGGCATGGTGTGCATTCCTATACTCCCAGGTACTTGAGAAGCAGAGGCGAGAGGATCGCTTAAGCCTAGGTTTGACCCAAAAGTTCAAGGCTGCAGTAAGCCATGATTGCACCACTGCACTCTAGCCTGGGTGGCAGAGTAAAGCCCTGTCTCTCAAAAACTGAAATAAAATAATAAATAATGCATACACACATGGGGATGCCAGTTGAGGGGCTGGTGGTGAGATTTAACTGGGCTCTCTCCAGACAGAGAAAGAAGCTTAATGCTTCTTTCAGGTAATTTCGGGTCTGTCTTTACCTATGTGGACCCCAAGCCAACATTTGAGAAAAGGCTCCCTTCAGCGAAGGAATGTGTGACCGTAAGTGGTGAGCAAGAGAACCTTCCTTTATGGCCGGCCCTTCCTCCTTAACGCCAACACCTCTCCTCCATTTGCCCCTTAGTATAATTCCCAGGGTCTTTGCGCTTGTCAGCAAGTTACTTCCCACCAGCTTCCTGCAGAAAGCTATGTTTCCCAGGGTCAGAGATGGCATGAGCCCATAGGGCCATCCCCACTGCCGGCTTCTCAGGGTGCAGCCCCAGGGAAATGAGCGGTGGGACTTGGACAGTGCTCACTACTTCTGGGGGAAGCTGATGGTGCCTTCCATTTTTGTTTCTGCTTCAGATGAATTAAAAAACAAAACTGTGTGTGAAGACCAGGAGCTCAAACTGCACTGCCATGAATCCAAGTTTCTCAACATCTACTCTGCAACCTACGGCAGGAGGACCCAGGAAAGGGACATCTGCTCCTCCGAAGCAGAATGGCTCCCCCCTTTTGGTATGTGCTTTTGTCTGTGCATTAGTCAGGGTCTGAGTCTCTAAAGGCTCAGAACTAATAGGATATATCCTACATGATCGTGAAAGTTAATACTTAAAACAGGATCATGACCTTATGATTGCATAAGTTAATACTTAATAAACTCCCATGTGTATATATGATTGTAACAGTAATCTGCCAAAAATAAATAAGTAAAAGAACAAGGGCACATGCTCACACCTATAATCCCAGCACTTTGGGAGGCTGAGGCGGGCAGATCACGAGGTCAGGAGTTCGAGACCAGCCTGGCCAGTATGGCAAAACCCCATCTCTGCTAGAAATACAAAAATTAGCTGTGCATGGTGGCAGGTGCCTGTAATCCCAGCTACTCAGGAGGCTGAGGCAGGAGAATTGCTTGAACCCAGGAGGCGGAGGTTGCAGTAAGCTGAGATCATGCCACTGCACTCAAGCATGGGCAACAAGAGCAAGACTCCGCCTCAAAAAAAAAAAAAAAAAGAACTTAAGACATAAACACTAAGAATAGTAACCAACTAAAGGGGAGTTTATTCAGTATTAACTTACACGATCACAGGTCCCACAATAGGCTGTCTGCAAGGCTGAGGAACAAGGAGAGCCAGCTTGCGTCTCAAAACTGAAGAACTTGGAGTCTGATGTTCGAGGGCAGGAAGATCCAGCTCGGGAAAGATGGAGGCTGGGCGGCTAGGCCAGTCTCTCCTTTTCATGTTTTTCTGCCTGGTTTATATTCGCTGGCAGCTGACTAGATGCTGCCCACCTGATTAAGGATGGATGTGTGTTCCCCAGCCCACCGACTCAAATGTTAATTTCTTTTGGCAACACCCTCAAAGACACACCCAGGAAATACTTAGTATCCTTCAATCCAATCAAGTTGACACTCAGTATTAACCATCACAGTAGGGTTATACTTAGGGCGCCACCTGAGTGATTAGGGCCCTGGCTCCCCGAGGAAAGAAGCCATGCCAGTGGGCAGTGCCTGGATTAAAGGGAAAGCCAAGGGCAGGGAGGAACTGCCGCACCGTGTACGGGCCCTTTTGCCTTCACATCCCCGAATCTGTCAGTTGTTCCGTCATTCCACACCGAGTAGTTATTGAGCACCTGCTGTATGCTGGGCCGTGTTCAAGGCATGGGGTGTCATCAGTGGCCCAACACAGGGTTTACACCCTCATGGGGCTGACCTTCCAGCAGCAGATGGGGAGGTGGTGAGAAATCACATAATGAATGGATGCTCATGTCATATGTCAGGTGCTGATGGGATCAGTGCTAAGGAGACAAATATATGGGGAAGGGCAGGCGGGGAAGGGCAGGTGGAGAAGGCCAAGGTTCGCTGCAAAGAGGTGCGATTTTAGGGAGTGATGGGCATGCTGGACTTGGAGGAGGTGAGAAAGTGAGCCTGCAGCCAGCTTAGGACATGTGTCCAGAGAGAAGAGTAGACGCAAGGCCCTGAGGCTGGATGGTAGCTGGGCTGTAGTGCCGATGAGGGCTCAGCAAGTCATCCTTCTTAGAGGTGATGGCCGTGGTAGGCCTGAGAGCTTCACTCATCAGAGCCCTCCTGTATGATTCAGAGAGACAGAACCAATAGGATATGCAAGTGTATGCATCTATGCAGAGAGATTTTAAAGAATTAGTTCACTAGATGGTGGGGGCTGGCAAGTCTGAAAGCTGCAAGGCAGGCTGGCAGGCTGGAGACTCAGGGAAGAGTTGAGGCTGCAGTTTTGAACCTGAATTCTGCGGGACAGCAAGCTGGGAACTCAGGCAGAACGTCTGTGTTGCAGCCTTGAGGAGGATTACTTTTTAGGGAAACCTCCATCTTTGCTTCTAAGGGCTTCATCTGATGAGATGAGGCCCATCCACGTGGTGGCGTTCATCTGCGTGACTCAAGGGCTACTGCTGTCAACGTCAGTCCCATCTTAAAAACACTTTCACAGCAACATCGGGGCTGGTGTTTGGCCAAACAACTGGGAGCAATAGCCTGGTCAAATTGACATGTGAAGTTAACCATCACATTCCAATCTGCGGTGGTGAAAAAGCTTGATCTCTCTCTGCTGTATTACCAGAGTACAGACCCAGCTGCGAAACAGCCCAAGGAGTTGCACTTATTGCGAGCTCGTTAATATATTAAATTGCTACCATGTCTGTGTGGATCGCATGTGAAATTCAACATCCCTTTAAAAAAAAAATGCATGCCTAGGTAATACCTTGGATCTGAAAAAAAAAGAAAATTAACAAAAGGTGAGCTAAGTGCACCTTTTACTCAGGTGAGTCTCAAGAGAGAATCAAAAAGCCTTTGGAACATGTGCCTCCCAGAGGCCAAGCCCCGTATTCTGGGAGGGCCCTTGTGTGAGAATGGTGGAGGTCTGCTGGAGGGCAGCCCAGGCTGACCACAAAAGCAGGCTGATGTGCACACACTGCCCTTAACTAGATCTGGAGGTGAGGGTTTGTGTCCTGACAGGCTCAGCGCCAAATGGGGCAGAGAGGCACGTGTATGGCTGGGTCCTCATTGTCTGTTAATGACACTACCCACTGCTCTGGTCCAGTAAGTGACGTGTGAGCTCCTGAGCCCTATCTTCCCCCTCCAATAACACCTGCGTGTGTTCAGGTGGATACTGTGGTCTTCTCTCTCTTAAATGTCTCCACGCCTCCTCCTTTCTCCCCACCACTGCTTTAGGGAAAGGACCATTGCCGGGCCACTGCAGCCGTCTCCCAGCTCCCAGCTTGCCTTTCTCCCCACAGTGGCCTTAGGTGCCTTTCCCAAAGGCAAATCTGTCACTACCCTTCCTAACACCCTGCAGGGCTCCCTGTATTATCTGGTTCCTTAGCTGGCTGAGGGACCGTTGGTGTTCTAACTCCTTCTTGCAAAAATGGCTTTCACTTCTTTTTTCTTTGATTCTTAACCTTTATCATCTTCAAGAAGACCTTTCCAGAACTTTCACAGGGATTGTGCAAGGCATTGTGGGATCTATGTCTTCGTTACAGGCTCTGTGTCCCCTATGCCCACTCCATTTCTTTTTCTTTCTTTCTTTTTTTTGGGACGGAGTCTCGCTCTGTCGCCCAGGCTGGAGAGCAATGGTGCAATCTCGGCTCACTGCAACTTCCGCCTCCTGGGTTCAAGCAATTCTTCTGCCTCAGCCTCCCAAGTAGCTGGGATTACAGACATGCACCACCACACCCAGCTAATTTTGTGTTTTTAGTAGAGAAGAGGTTTCACCATATTGGTCAGGCTGATCTTGAACTCCTGACCTCAGGTGATCCACTCACCTCAGCCTCCCAAAGTGCCTGAGCCAACACACCTGGCCTCCATTTCTTAATACTGTAGAGAAGCACTCCATTCCCCAGGCTTACCAAATCTAACTCAGCTGAATGTGTTTTAAGAAGCAGCAGTAGGTAACATCCCTGTCGGCTGTTCTTTTGAGCAGAATTCAGTTGGCCAAGCAGGTAAATCTGTAAGCTCAATGGTTTGTGTTAAGTTGGTCACTGCCTTTCATTTCTAGGAATGGTGAATGACAGTTGGATTTATTTTTATTTATTTTTGAGATAGAGTCTCGCTCTTTCACCCAGGCTGGAGTGCAGTGACGCAATCTCAGCTCACGACAACCTCTGCCTCCCAGGTTCAAGCAATTCTCCGGCCTCAGCCTCCCTAGTAGCTGGGATTACAGGCATGCACCACCACGCCTGGCTAATTTTACATTTTTAGTAGAGATGGGGGTTTCTCCATATTGGTCAGGCTGGTCTTGAACTCCCAACCTCAGGTGATCCACCCGTCTCGGCCTCCCAAAGTGCTGGGATTACAGACATGAGCCACCACACATGGCCACATGAAAGCTTTAAGCTGCTCTTGTCCTCTTCTCCCCAGAGAATCATCAGTGTACCCCTCATGTCTAAACATGTTTTAATATCATCTACCTGAAAAAGCACACTCTTTTGACCTCCTGTCTCCTGCCCGCTACCCGTCGACTCCCTTCACCAGTCCCATGGGCAGAGCATCTGCTGTCTGCAGGAAGTCCCAGGGCAGTCCATGGTGGCGCATCTCTAATCTGTCCACTTTGCTCCCAGCCCCCTCTGGGCATCTCTCTCCTGGACATCGAGGCTGCCTCCCCTCTTCACTTAGCAGCTAGAGGGTTTATATTTATTTATTTAAAAAAATTTTTTGGAGACAGGGTCTCTCTCCGTTACCCAGGCTGGAATGCAGTGATGTGCCCAGTGCAATTTAAAGGCTTCATGTACGGCCTACCTGAGCCAAGGAGAAAATAATTTTGTAGCATTCAATTAGATGGAGAAGGGAGGCTGAGGCGGGCGGACTGCCTGAGCTTAGGAGTTCAAGACCAGTCCGGGCAACATGGTGAAACCCTGTCTCTACTAAAATACAAAAAATTAGCTGGGTGTGACGGTGTGCACCTATAGTCCTAGCTACTTGGGAGGCTAAAGCAGGAGAATCGCTTGAATCTGGGAGGTGGAAGTTGCAGTGAGCTGAAATCACACCACTGCACTCCAGACTGGGTCACAAAGCGAGACTCCATCTCCGATTAGATGGAGAAAATGTACCAGCTCAGAAAACCAAAGGTTTGTATTTCCACCCTTAGCACTGACCTGAATGGTGAGGTCAGAGCTGAGCCTTCCATGTGAGGCTGAGGACCAGATGAACAGGGTACCCCCAGAGCCCTTTGATTTTTGTCTTTGAGCCTTTTCATGCTGCGGACCACAGGGTGAGAAGGGCTCTGGCATTTTGCTGTGGCCGTGAATGCAGTGAAGCATTCATCATAGCTCACTGCAGCCTCCAACTCATGGGCTCAAGTCATTCTCTCACCTCAGCCTCCCGAGTAGCTGGCACTACAGGTGCATGCCACCATGGCTGGCATGGTGAAGATGAAGTCTTGCTATTTTGCTCACGTTGGTCTTAAACTCCTGGCCTCAAGTGATCCTCCTGCCTCAGCCTCCTAAAGTGATGGGATTATAGGCATTAGTCACCAAGCCTGGCCAGGATTTTATTTAAATTAAATCAGAGCACATCGCACCTCTGCCTAAAGCCCTCCACTCGGCCCACTGTAATTGGAATACCTCAGTCTTCACCTGTGGTCTGGCTGCAAACGCCTCTTCCCTCACCACCTCTGGAGCACTTTGCCCTCATTCATACCCCTGGGCCTTTGCACAAGCTGTGCCTTTGGCCTGGACTGTGCTCACCCCTTCTTGTGTGGCTGGCTCTGCCTCAGGATTCAGGAATCAACCCAGATGTCATCTCGGAGAGGTTTCCCCAGGCACCGGCCAGCATGGCATCTGGTCCCTGCAGTCCCTCTCCAGCGACCCTTCTGTTGAACTTTCTCCAGAGCATGGAGACACACCATGGTGTGTGTGTGTGGTTCCTCTCCCCAGAAGCTGAGCGGCTCTGCAGGGACTGGTCTATGGAATTCCCAGAAACTCGAGCAGTGCCAGGCATAGCAGGTGCTCATGTGAATCTAGAGAGATGCAGGAATGAGTCAGAGCCCCTCTGAAGTGAGGCGCCCACCCTTGGCTCCTGAGGATGGATGATCGTCTGGTTACAGACTGGGAATGTAGGCCTGGTGATGTCACAGCTTCCAGCCTCTTACGGGATGCTGGAAAT